CTGGAAATATAAATAAACTTGAACATTTATCAAATACTTCTTGATAAAGGTAGTAAGAATGCAAGGACATAGTAAATGAGAGTGTGCTAGAAAAATATATAGCTCATTAAGGCACTAAGGTCCAGAGAAGCTACCAGCTCCTCTGGCCCACACTTCCTAACAAAGCAAACCCAGGCTGAGATCAGCTGAGCAATTTTTAATACCATTAAGCTCACTTTCATAGCAACTACCTAGAACCCAAGTGTCCCAGCACCTTCTTGCCCTTGAGATATTTGTGACTATGTCCTCTCCAGAGTAGATTTACTGCTAACCTCTGACTCAGAGTTAGGAGACTTGGGACCTCCCGTAGTCTTGATGATAACTTGCTCAGTATGAGACTGTGACCAAAATAGTCACTTCAGTTCTCTTGGTCTCAGAGACCTCTGCTGTGAAAGGAAAAGACCAGCTAAATAGCAGTTGCTTTCAAACATTTTAGCTGTGGCCCCTTTCTTGAAGTAGAATCTTATACAGATTTCCACATATGAAACAGATAAAGTAGGTCTTCTCTGGCTGATATGTGATAGAGGGCTCCCAGTCCCACTCATCAGTCTTTCCTCATCTCCAAAGGCAGTTTCTGAGCCCCGCAGAGAGCTCCTAGAGTTTTGGAAGGCTGAAGTGTGAACCACTAGAAGAAGATCTGCAGGTCCCTCCTGTTCTAAGATTCATTACTCTATAAGTAAAGCAACATACACAACAGAAAAACAAGACATAATCCATTACTTTAAAGGAGCTAAAATCTAGCGGAAGAGATGTACTACGAGAATCAATCACCTTGGTTTATGGAGCAGCTTCTATGTGTGCATGGGACCATGCTAGGTGAGCTGTAACACTTTCTGCTTTTTTTTAGTGGAAGATTTTGGCTCATGGCTTTCTGGTATCTTCTTCACCCCAAATCCTACCATCATCCCGGAAGATTCCAAGGACCATACAGATCACCCACCGATGCCTTGGCTTCTCACTTCCTCAGTCTCCTTATCTCCTATTCTCTCCTCATCTCTCCCTCTTGGCCAACTACTTGAACAACCACACTATAGGGTATATTAGCAGCAAACACTTCACTTCTGAAATAACTAAAATCAGATATCCAGATTCCAGCTTTTCCTTTTAACATAATTTTTACCTAAATACCTTCAATTCCTTGTCTCTTTTTATATCAGCTCCCATTACTTGCTTCTTTATCCAATGTAGAGCCCAGTGTTTATCATCATCATCATCATCATCGTTGTTGTTGTTATTTAAGTAGGCTCCATGCCCTGCATGGAGCCCAGTGCAGGGGCTTAAACTCAGGACACAGAGCAAGACCTGAGTTGAGCCACCCAGACACCCCAAGTCTAGTGTTCATTATTTTAATCATTGTCTAAATAAAATGTTCAACTTTCTTCCCCCATTGTTCTTCCACTTCACTCATGTGGCAAAACCTTAGCCCTGGACAAATCCAACTGTTTTTGCATGCCTATACCAAATGTTGTCCCACATATGTTCCCTTACATATTCTCAAAGACAAATGCCATATAAAGTCACAGTCTCTAGCCTCAAGTGGGCCCGCAAGATTACCTGCCCTCCCTAGTAAGCTTTCCTTTCCAATTGCCACAGTTATTATTTCAAACTTTTTTCACTCTGGTATTTCTATTACTCTCTTTCAGCACATGACTTTCTTTCCTACTTCACGGAGGACACAAACTACCAAATAAGTACTTTGATTCCCTCTCAAGTTAAAAACTCACTTGGATTTCTGCCCATCCTCCCTTTCTTCGTCCTGTTACAATGGACCAGCTGGCCCATCTCCTAAGGCTAGTCCCCCTCTGGTATTTGGAATCCTAAACCTGCCATCTGGGGACTCTTTCTCAGAATTTAAACATAACACATTTCCTCTTGCCTCAGCTCCATATTCCCTTCTCTCCTTCACAACCTAATTTTTTGGAAGGCATCCACACCCACTATTTTTACTTCCTCAAATTTCACTCACTCCTCAGTTCACTCCCATTTACCATCCCATGAGATGTGATCTAGGAAGCCATTTGTTTTTTGCCCTTCATTGGAACAACTCTTACTAAAGTCTTCAACCACATTCTTAAACCTGAATTCAATAGTCACCTTTTGTTCTTTATTTTCTTGGCAATACATGACACTATTTACTATTTCTTCTTGAAACACTCTTCAATCTGGCTTCTGTAGCACACACTCTCTTGACTTTTCTTCTACTTCTCTGGCTGTTTTGTCTAAGTTACCTTTGGGATAATTATTTTTGTCTCTTATAGAGAGGCTTCCCTTACATTTCTACCTTTGGGTACTTTCATCAAGCAACTTAACAGGACCATCTCATCCATCACAGGACTTCTGCTAAGGTCTACTTATTGATGATTTTCAAATTGACCTCCAGCCCAAGCTTCACTCTTAGCATGGCTGTTCTAAAGACACTTCAAAGTCAACATATCAAAAGCTGTACTCCTTTCACTCCTCCCTCGAAACTATGTTTCCTAACTCAATGGATGACACCTTCAAAACAGAAACTTGAAAGTCTTCCTTGATCTCTGCTGACACCCAAGTCCCTACCTACCATCCCTTCTTCCTCACTTCCTTTACTCATTAGTTCCTAAGTCTGGTTGATCTACTTCCATCCACTTTTCTCTAACCTCACCAACACTATCCTCGCTCACCCAGATTATAGCAGCAGCTTCCAAACTAGTCTCACTACCTTCAATACTATTTCCCACACAGCAGGCCAAGTGAACAGGCAAATCTGTTTTGGTCTCTTCCATGTTACTAAACACTGAGGGAGTTTCCTATTGTCCAAACTTCCCCATGTGGGTACTCATGTTCCCTCGTGACAGGGTCCCTGCCTACTTCCTCACTCTCATTGTCTCCTTCCCCATTTCTTCTCTTCACACTCTGTGCTGTAGCAGCACCGAGGTCACTGAGTTCCTCAAACAAATCATGCCTTCTCTTGCACATGTCATATCCACCCTGAAAATTACTCCCTCACTTTTTGCTTGGCCCTGGGTTATCTATACTTCAGGACTCAGTCTGTTACTTCCTTTAAGAATATTTTCTGGTTTCTTAGCCTGGCCAGGGCACCTCCTTTGTGCTCCCAAAGTATACAATACTGCTTTGTTTAATTGTCTATCTTCCCCCTGCAGGCTATATGGACCATGAAGGTAAGAGCTATGTCTTATTTTGTATTCTCAGTATCTCCCTACAGTACCTGGCACATGGTAGATATGCAATTTTACTGTCAAATGTGATTATGTAATGGATCTGAGAGAAATGGAGCCTGGGAAGTAGGGCACAGGAGATAAGTAAGCAAGGAAACATTCCAAGAAGAGGAGAGAGGGAAGCATAGGGCAGATACACAGACTTCTCACAGTCCCAGTGATGGGAAGTAATTTGGACCAAGTAAAGGAAACAGGTGGCAACAAGGAGCTCTTTAGAGAGAAGTCTAGTATCTTTATAATGGCAAGGTTCCCCACCACCAACTGAGTTAAGGCCACAGCCTTCCTCCCTGTGGCAAATATCCCTACCAATAATCCTATGTCAGCTGGGTGGATTTTTGTCAGCTTTGATAATTAATGTCAACATCTCCTCTGAAGATTGGCCACTTCAACTCCATTGCCACCTACTCAATCTAGGTCACTATCTCTTCACCTGTGGCTCATATCTGGCTTAATTGGTCTGTTTTTCTTCTTCAGTTTATCTCTTCTAGAGAACTAGAACAATCTCCCTTAAAACCTGATAATACACTGTTCTAGTGCTCAAGAACAAGACTTCCACTTTCCCCTATAGCAAACCTAAATGCTGTGACCAAGCTTCTTGGCTCTTCACTCTTGTGACCACTATCATGCTTGTTCCCCACCATGTCTCCAACATGCTTTTCCCACTTCTGCAACTAGGTTTCATGATTGTGAATCTTGGACTCAGAGCACATTCTAAAGTTAAAAGCAACTTTTGGGAAGGCATAAAATTCATCAGTCCAAAACTAGCAAATGAACAAAAAACCCTCCTTCTACATTAAAACGTTTACAAAGATAGAGCTTAGGCTGCACCTAGACCATATTTTCCTAATTCACTGATGATGTGTCCTTCAGTATATGGTATATAAGTCAAAATTGCCATCTATTGTTCCTTCTGATATCTAGTTCTAGGCTTTGGCCCAGACAAAATTTGATTGCATCTATTCGTTTTTGTGGCAGAGTAATGCATTAGCCCCAAATCTCCAAAGTTTCTGTGAAAGACACTTCTGGTGAAAAAGCAGAAATACAAGAGTTTGAGGGCAAGATCAATAAAAGAAGAGGGAAGGAAGGAAGGAAGGGAGGAAGGGAGGGAGGAAGGAAGGGAGGGAAGTTTATAAAAAACGAACCATAAGAGACTATGGACTTGAGAGACTACTTGAGAGAATACGGACTCTGGGAAACAAACTGAGGGTTTTAGAAGGGAAGGGGGTGGGGGAATGAGTGAGCCTGGTGATGGGTATTAAGGAGGGCACGGGTTGCATGGAGCACTGGGTGTTATATGCAAACAATGAATCATGGAACAGTACATCAAAAATTAGTGATGAACTGTAGGATGACTAACATAATAAAAAAGAGAGAAGGTTATCAAAATGATTATCAGATATGATGTTAAATAAAAACAGCAAAAAAAATCTCTTGGCAGAGTATAGTTAAATTAGGACATTAACAGATTTCCTTAGTGAAACTAAGGGTTATTATCATTCCTTTTATTTTTCCATGCTTTCCAAATTTTCCTCAAAATGCATAAATTTATTTTAAAAAGCAAGATTAAATTTAAAAATGTAGGAACATATCAAAAGACAAACTCCTTGGGGGAAATGCTTGCTTATAATTAATTTTTCCACTCACACCATTTAGAAATGAATGTCAAATTCTTACAACGATCAAGCCAAATCAAGTAAGTGTATCTTTCCCCCCAGATAATTAGTGTGATATGAGACTTTCTCAATTTACCAGAGTTCCTCTTTCTCTTCCTTTGGGCTTTGAATCTCTACTTCCAAAACTGTTAGTTTAGACATAAGATCTTTATAGATATTTTCACTTGCAATTAAATTAGCAGGTGCAGTATTTCTCCCTACAGTAAAATTATTTAATTGTTCAAATTCTTGTGAAAGCTTCAAGACCTGTAAAGTGAGAAGACAAATATTCTATTTTGTATATTCTAATATATAATTATGAGAAAATACATTGAGTCTATTAAATGTTTAAATAATTATTGACAAATAATATAAATTGACATCCTATTTGAAGTCATCTTCTAATTTAACTTAACACTTTGCTGTCATTATGTAATCTAATCCATTTTTACCATAGGCATAAGGATGCATAAATCCGTGGTTTTAAAGAAGGGTATCTTTGGAGAAGGGAAGATAGAGAGAGAATGATAAAGCAAATGCGGTACACCATGCTAATACTGGAGGAGTGAAGGTGCTTGGGAATTCTTTGTACGATTTTTAAAACTTTTCTGTAAGCCTGAAATTATTTCAAAATAAAAAGCTTTTTAAAAGAGCGAGCAAGGGAGAGCCAGATTACCAGGATAGTGATCTGAATCTCTTGTTTTTATATTCTATTCCTGTTGCCACGGTTCATCTTCTGTGTTGCACTGTCCAGTGATATTTCATAAGACAAGATCCTTTAATTGTACAGTGTGATGACAACCTACTTTGCTGACAAGGTCCTCCAACAAAGCTTAGTTTAGGCTGTGCCCCATGTATCCACCTTTCCAGGTAGCAAACCCCGTGTTCTGGACCTTTCCATTACTAGGTCATATACTGTTTGATCCATGTCCCAATCCCTCAGCAGCTTGCACCCTGCTTTCAGGATAACAACTTCACAGAGGATAAATGAGGCCTGGGCTTAGTCCTTCATTTCACATGTGCTATGAAAACATAACCCAATATATTTTAGTTGTGTGTTCAAGCCTTCACTCCTCCCTACCTTTTTAATCAAGACCAAAGGAGTAACCAAGGAAGAGAATTTTCAGCCAGGAGTAGTTAATAAGCGGGACTCCAGGAATCACCCTGCAGGCAACCTCTCCATCTAACTGTGGTCTGGCAGCCATTTTTATACTTGGGGAACATATTGGGGGCAGGACATTTAAACATTCCTAATTCTAATTATGAACCTGATCTTCAGTATAACTGAAAAAAAAAATGCTTTGATTTGAAGGTTTAAGGTTGAAGACACTTAAGTAAACTTTTGTTTGTTTTGTATTTCGGGGGGGGGTGGTAGTAAAGTACACATAATATAAAATTTACCATCTTAACCTTACACACTGAAGTGTGCCTTCAGTGGTATTAAATACATTCACAGGGTTGTGTGACCATCACCATCAACCATCCCCAAAACTCTTCATCTTATAAACTCTATACCTATTAAACAATAACTCGCTCTCACCCCTCCCCCAGCTCCTGAAACTACCATTACACTTCTTGTCTTTATGATTTTGACTACTCTAAGTACCTCAAATAATTGGAATCATACAGTGTGTGTGTTTTTGTGATGGGCTTATTTCACTTAGTGTGATGTCCTCAAGATTCGTCCATGTTGTAGCATCCTGCAGGATTTCCCTCCTCTTTTAAGGCTGAATAACTTTCCATTGTGTGTTACATACCACAATTTGCTTTTCTATTCATCCGTCAATAAACACTTGGGTTACTTCCACATTTCAGCTATTGTGAATAATGCTGCTATGAAAATGGGTGTGTAAATTATCTCTTCAAGGCCCTACTTTCAATTCCTTTGGGTATATATCCAGATAGTGGAATTGCTGGATCGTTTGGTAGTTCTATTTTTAAGTAAACCTTTTACATTATAATATGTACTCCAAAAATTAAACTGTTTGGAAACTGATCTAAAGTAAAAAATTAACAGCGTAATCCTAAGAGTGAAGACTAAAGTCTATTCAGAGATGCAGATTGGCTTATAACCTATACAATATGGCAATTTATTCTATAAATTATATAATTTTATATATATGTAATTATATAAGTAAAAGATATGCCAATTTCCAAGTCACCTTTTCCTGAAAATTAATATCCTTTTATCTTATCCTAATAAAAGATAAAGACAAACACTGAACATTTAAAGAATTAATTCAGTCTCACCTTTGTTTCTAATTCAGAATTCTCTCTTTGTAGCTGGTTATATGTTACTAAAAAATAGTCTCCACTTTCTGATGCCCCTGGAATACTTTGAATTTCATTGTAAAGGCATAGAAGTTCTGACTTTGATTTTTGCAATCCCTGATTAAGAAATAAGGATATTTAATAAAATAAAATAAGACTTTCCCATAAAAGGTATAATACTTCTAAATAGGAATCTTAGAATTTCTTTTGTTGTTTTAAATATTCCAACTTATTCTTCTGGCAGAACTACTTTGTTAATAATTAAAGTTTACTTAAATCAATTAATTAAACTGAGCATTCCTAGTTTCTATCATTCACAGGTTGAAGGACGGGGTTTCTAGAGCCATTCCTACTTTCAGCAAGGCTTCTAGAGAGGTAAATTCTTCAGCAACTCCTGCATTAGTTATATTACCTGTTTTAAAATATATCTTTTTTTTAAAGTTACCTTTTACAGAACAACCACGCCTTTAATTTTGTGACAACCCCATGCAGTCCGGTTACTGATAAAGGTTCAGAGAGTGTAAGTGGCCTGCCTAAGTTCACATAGCTAGGAAGTGGTAAAGCTAAGATTCACCTGTCTGACCAACTTTAAATTCTGTGTTCTTAACTACAAAGTATGCTGCCTTACTTAATAATGTATATTCAGTGACTTAATCAACTGATTTTTTTCTATATCTGTGAGAGAAAACACTTCACTTATATGTAGATTCTTATCAAATTTCTACACTGATGATACAGAATATACATTTTGGTTGGTGGATGACTGGGACCTGAGAATCTGTGGTACCCTATGAAGGGAACAGGTGATATGAAATTTACTTTAGGAGAGGAGTTACTTGGTATTTTCCCAAAGCCTTGAGATCAGAAAGGGAAGACAGTGTTGATGAGGAAGGTGTGGGGCAAAAGGGAGAGAAAATGGAGAGTGGCCACCCAAAACCACAGGAAGAGGGCAAGTGGCATCAGTTTCCTGCCTCATTGCATTGAAAATTCCTGTAGGTCATCAGGATGGGATTTGGGGCATTGCACTGGCTGTCACCCACCCTGCAAACTGATTAAGTGTCACCAGCCTCTAAATTGGTGATCTAGACTTCCATGGACTCACATCTAGGTCTCTCTTCCAAATATAGGCTGGTTGTCTCCTGATAGACCTTTCCAAGATGGTAGGAAAAGCACATAAAAGGAGAGACAAGTCCATGACTCTATGACCACCATAATAATCAAACACCTGGTACTTAAGGCCCCTCTTTGGCTGGTGCTGGAACTCAGGTTGGAAAGGACACTCACCCCATTATTACTAACAGAAACACATATTCTATAGCCACGATTTAGTTGAAAACCAAAATAAATGGTAACATGAAATCCCTAAAGTAGGAATGCAAAAAGAGGGAAATAACATCCTGAGTGGCAAAATACCTCACTTTTAACTTTCAAAGCCTTCTGTATAGTAGTAAAATCAGATGCCAATTGCTTTCTCCTTTCTTCTGACAACTCACTTTCAAATATTTCAATTTTTTCTTGGCTCATTTTTAAAATCTGCAAAAAGCATTTTATATAATTAATTCTATATATAATAATCATGTTTAAATTAAATCATGTATAGATTCTGATAATAGTAATTTCCTGCCTAACTCAATTATAAAGTCATCTAGGGGAGATATGAAGCTGGGAAAAGTAATTCATGGTACCATAGCTCATAAGAGACATTTTTCTCTCTAAGCCTCTTTCTCAATTGTAAAATGGAGCTGACACTGTTCTGTTATATACATTATAACCATCAGAGTAGGAATGAAGTGAGATTTTGAAAGTATTTTGTTAAGCAGCTATCAGATATAAAGTCTTGTTAAAATCTTTCCAGATTAATTGATAATAATAATTGCAATAATAATGAAAGTAATTACTAGTTAGTGCTTGCCATGTGTCAGACATCATGATACATGCTTTACTTGCATTATCTCATTTTGTTTTCCAGGACCCCTATGAATTTGGAATATACATATATGTGTGTATATATATATATATATATATATATATAATATATATATATGATTAAGTTATAGACTATATAATATATTATATATTTATATAAAGTCATATAATATATAAATACAATTAAGTTATATGATATATTTATATAAATATAAGGTTATATAATTATAAACATAATTAAGTTATATTCTATATATAATATAGAATTATATATATTATATATATATATATATATTTTTTTTTTAACAGAGAACAGAGGTGAGGCTCAGCTATATTAGATATTTTTCCCAAGATCAGCACTGGGATTCAAACCAAATTTAACTTATAAGCCCTTACTTTTAATATCTACTCTATTTGAACTTACCAAAGCATATTTTCTCTTGTTACAAAAACCTAGTAGGAAATTAAATTGAGGCCAAAATGCAATTTGGTGGCTATGGACTGAGACCTGAGCCAATTCTCATAATACTGCCATCAAGCTGTGGACCCTTCTTGTTGGTCAGAGCACGCCTGTCAGGTGAGCTAACTACTCCTTTGTACCACCCCACTAGGGAGCAGCATGAAATTGATAGGTCTCTACTCTCCAACTTGGGAAACCAAGAATGATTTGTGGGAAAAAAGTCTTACTGGTCTTGTTCTTTACCAACAGCGGAAAACTGAGTCTGCTACTTAACTTAGACTCAGTTTTGTCATCAGAAAAATGAGGACAATGATCCGTACGCACGTGTGGGCACCTCACTTACAGCAGTGCTCTGTAAATGGTGGTTTGTGTTATTGGGTTCTGAATTTTCACGTTTACTCAGTTGCAAGGCAGTACCTTTAAACACCCTTCCGATTTCAACACATTAGTTTATCCAAAATATATTTTACCGGGCTCCTTCCTAACCAACCTGTAACCACTGATTACAATCACAAGATGTAGGTTCACCATTCCTGCAGGTGTATTTTCTCCCTTTGCCTATATCCAGCTATTCTTAAGCATCCTTATGGAGTGTGCCGCAACTGAATTA